TGCCTGGAAAGTTGACAAGGATGCCAATCTCATATCCCAACAATTTCCTAATTGGCATATTAATGCAGATATTAGTGAGTGTGCAGTACATCTGTACTACATGTTGAACAGTCCTGTCCACCCAGCATACGAAGTCATTGTGTCAGCTGTTGGTGAATATAAGTTCATCATTGGGGGAAAGTCCAGAACAACTTGTATTACTTCATTGCCAAAATCAATTCACACTCAGAAGGACTTGTATTCATTTATGCAAACACCGGAGAAACACTCTCTATGTCCTGGAGTTTCAATAGAAAAATATCATGACCTACCCATAGATAGTGATGCACCTGTTTTTAAGAGCAATGATGGCCAACCTGCTGCATTTGTTGAAACTATTCCATCCAATTTTTATAAAAAACTTATTAGATCTTTTAACTGTTCCCTTTTTCTCCCTTTTGGTAGTACATGTTTGCGATGCGAATCTTGCTTTCAAACTGATCATTACATGCGAACATTGAAATCTCGAAAACACTGAGAATGTTTCCAATAATGATACTGTATAAAAATTTACACGTTATGATTACACGACCAAAGATCAACTAGTTGAGCACAGTAGACGCACAGCAGAAACAATGCATGGGTTGCAAGTTAGTTTGAGAAGGCTTCAAGAACACCAGGAAAGTATGACAACAGTTGGTTCTAATACAGATTCAGAATTTAAGGAATTGTTTACAAAGCTGTATAGTGGCTTTAAAAACATTTCGGACAAACACACTAATATTGTTTGCTGTTGGAAAAATTGTGAGATCGGAGGAGAATTTGTGTCAAGTGAACAACTTTTTTACCATATAAAACAGTTGCATGTACCACCACAAGTTGATGTTGCCCCTATAAACAAACAATATGTTCGCAAATGGCTGGGTTGTGACAAAACCTTTTTAAAGAAAGAACAACGGGAATCCCATATTGTTGGTCATACTGGTAGTAAATCAGACTCTTTTTTCCTGTTGTTACTCAAAGATCAAGCTAAGGCACTCAATATGCCATCCAGGCAAATGCGTTGGCATAGTTTTAAAGTGGTGTCTCCGTATATATTGCAAATCGCATTCAACATATTCTGAACTGAGAGATTCAGGATTTTTAAGACTTCCTAGTGGAAGAACCCTGTCGGATTATAAGAATTTCTGCTCACCAAAATCTGGGTGGCAAACATCTGTTTTCCAGGGAATGCAATCGAGCTGTGAGCAGCAGAAAGTGCCAAATGTTGGAAAGTTGGGGGCCCTCATTTTTGACGAGGTGAAAATCAAAGAGGGCCTATTGTTTGACCCATCTTCTTGGGAACTTATTGGGTTTGTTGACTTGGAATGTGACGACGCCTCTCCAGCTGGTAAACCGACTACAACAGAGAAACTTGCCTCGCATGTCCTCCAGTTTTACTTCAAAAGCTCGTGTCTTTTCATCATTTAACTATCCATGCGGTTATTTTTTAACCAGAGGAATTACTGCAACCCAATTAAATCGAATATTTTAGGAAGGAGTGGGATTGCTACATGCCCATGATTTTGACGTGATTGTTAGCATCTGCGATGGTGCTCCTGAAAACAGAACATTTATGGATATAAATGGTGTACTGAGACTGTTAGCAAGACACATAATCCATTTTCAAACAGTCCACTCTTTTTTCTTTCTGATCCACCTCATCTTGTGAAAAAACTACGAAACAACTTGTATAACAGTGGTCATAAAGATATGTGTCCAAGATATACCAGGTGCTTGTCCCTAGATTCGAAGGACATAATCTGGGATCATGTTTACTCGATCTATTTGAGAGACAAACAACGACACTTGTTTAGTACAGACTTAAGAAGCTCACATGTACACCTAGACAGTCTGTGTAAAATGCGAGTTAAACTTGCAGTTCAAGTATTGAACTCAAAGTGGGGGAAAACATGGAGAAATACGAGGCAGATATAACATCATCCACTCAGAAATTTATATGTAACTGTGAGACATTATGGAATGTCTTTAATGATACCACACCCCTTTCATCAGAGACAGATGTGAGACTAGGGAAAATAGAGGATGTTCTAGGCTTCTTTAGGAAGTGGAAAAATGAACTTGCCGAACAATTTACATTAAAAACTGAGCAATCATCTCGGTTTATCTCTTGGCAAACATTCTATGACTTACAGGTAAAGTAATTGGCATAAGCCCCAGCCATATAAAAGCTCAGCCATGATATACTTCACTAACTGATTTAGCATATCAGTGCTGACATTGTATGCAATAAAAGTGTATACAAAGTCTATTACACTCATTTGATTACATTCTCACCATTTCTTTTTTACCTTAAATTCTCTAGATTTCAATCAATGGATTGATTGGTTTGGTACATTATATAAATAGTTACAGATTCAGACGTCTCCATGGAAGTCATTATGTTATACCGAAAAGGCTGAACCAGGACATTGTCGAATCATTTTTCTCAGTGCAAAGACAGGCATGTGGTGGGTCTAATAATATGACTGCTTATGTCTATGGTTATAATGTAAATAGTCGCATAAGTTATTCTGACGCTAAATTGCTATGTAAAAAGGACACTAATGTTAACGAAATTGGATTTGAAAAGGATGACTTGCAAGAGTCAATGGCTAGTCTTCCAAGAAGGAACAATGTTAGAAGTATTTTTGTCAGTAATATGTGGTCCAGGCATATTTGACTTTTTAAAGGGCACAGTTCAGCTTTTTGAATGTTGGTTTTTAAGGCGCATTTCAGCCCTTTTACTTGAAAAACTAACTAGGAAAATCAATTAAGCATAACTCAAGATCAGCAAACTTGATTTTTTTAACATTTTAAAACTTTTTAGTGTTAAAAACATTGTGTTTACTGATCGTGAATTATGCATAATTGATCTCCCTAGTTAGTTTTTCAATTAATTAAAAGGGCTGAAATGCACCTTAAAAACTATCATTCAAAAGGCTGAACTGTGACTTTAATTGGGTCATTCCAGAAAACATCCATACCACCCCCAGGGAGGAAATAGTTAGTTTTAACCTCTCTACCCCCTTCGAATGTCCTAATACATTTACTATTACCAGAAACAATTTTTTCTCCCCTCCCCGTCCGGACGGCAGAAATTTCCTCCGTGCGGGGAGTATGGATCTTTTCTGGAACGACCCATTAGTATTATGACCCTTAGGTTATGTTTGCACTGTATCGGCCAAATAGTTTTTTAGCACCAGTTATGCATCAGTCAAATACAAGCGTGCCCATGTGGCCCCCCCTGGCAACCATGGGCTATTTGCTACTGATTTTTTGCGCTGCTGTGGGTCATTTTCACATGTTTTTATCCTCGCTACCGGTAAATTGTTGCATACTTTCGAGAATTGTCAAAATCCCAGGGGCTTGCCCAACTTTGCCCGGGGATGGGCACGATTGGATTTGACTGATGTATCCCTGTAGTGTGAGGCTGTGTGAAATCATGATTTGAAACCAAACTTGAAAGAGACGGAAGATATCAGATGTACCCTACAATACATTGTAAACACAGGGCTTTATACATTGTTTTCAAGAGTGAAATGTACTAAATATGTAGTTGACAGCATAGTTGTTGTTGACGTATGTAGTTGACAGCATAGACAGCATTTTTACCTAATGTATATGTTGTCATACAACCAGCCCCAGGTGTAACGTTTGTCTTTTTCAGCAATAAAACAAAGACAAATTTGTGTTGTTTTTTCTCATTATTATGTAATTTATATGCAGTATAAATGTTTAAGGTTTGTAACCGTGTCCCAATTTTACCTTATCTGCATGCATTCCAGCACTGGAATGCAACCTATTATTTGACTCTTTTAGTGAATTTTAACCCATAGTAGCTATCTCTTGGAGATTTCCTTGCTGATTTTTATCCTATCCTTTGAAATTCCTTTTTCATTGTGGACCCTTCAATAGAAATTCTTCCATTTTTGGTTCACTTTTGGTGGCCTCTCTTGGGGGGGGGGGGCTATTGGAAATTCAAGACGTCCTCAATACGGGGGTGCGGATAAAAAGGGCAATGGCCCAATGAGTGATCGAGGCGAAGGCATAGGGCGAAGGTCGTCGAAGTTGATCCTGAAGTTGCTTGCCACGTTTTAAAGTTAAGAATGAAATAATCAATTAAAAAATACAATTGTGTGAAATTTGGCTGTTAAAGATGGTGTGGATCAAGTACGTTGTATCAAAGTATGTAAGTACGCTTTATTATAAACTATAGTTAATATGTTAAATTTACTTGTCAAGTATAGTCTTGCACGTTTTATATCCCGAGTTCGATCCCAATTTTGGGCAAAATGTTCCTTGACAAATTTACAAAAATCACAGTACACCCACAGTAGGTATACTGGTATAAATATATAGTAAGTTGCTATTTTATAATTGCAAACTGAAATGTGCAACGCATATGGAACAATAACATAAAAAAGCATTAAAAAAATCTATAAATTTGATGTTTATAGGCATTGAATACATATAGGCAAAAGGCAATGAATATTGCATTCATTGATCCAACCCCCATAACATGCAAATTTGAATGGTTTAGTGCCGTTGTTTGAGAGTGCACGCCAGTTCATATACAAGTGAGCAATATTTAACAATTATTTACTCTCTAACAATGGATTATCTTACTAATCAAGGGCAATCTTGGACCTTAAGTGTATGGTGTTAGACAGAGTAAAATAATCTGTAGTTAGAGTGAAATAGGGTGCATCAGGCGCAATGCGACTCAATGGATTAATGAGTAACATGCATGCGAAATACTAGAATGTTTCATCACATATTTCATGTCTCAGCTAGGTATTTGATAGTGCAACAAAATAGGTTTTGGTGGGGTAAACGTTTTTCCTGTGTTCCACTGGTGAAGTATCTAGAAATTTTGTTTTGATAAAGGTGGGGTAATGATTTTTCTGGCTACATTATGCACTCTTGGGCCCTAACCCGGCCATAAATAATGACTGGTCCCTAAATTCTCAACTATTTGATTAAACATCCTTATTCTTAAGTGTGTCGATTACATACAAAACTTGTTTTTCTTTCTTCTTTCCTTGATAAGATGGCTTTCCTAGACTTTTGAGTAGTTTTGCTAACTCTTTTCCTGTCAGTTGATTTAGTAAAATGTGTTGAGCAGGCAGTTGTAATGTGCATAGGTGATGAAGAAATCCTGCAAAACTTTCAGATGTTTCACCAGCCGCTCTCATCTTGGATATCTCACTGTCTACCACAGATTTTGTTTTTATTTTGCTTCCTTTCGGTTTCATGATTTCCCTCCTAAGTGACACACTGTTTTTGTTTGGTTTCAGCCCTTCTTTTTCTCGGAAGATCTGTTGCTTTGACTTAACAAAGAATGTTACTATTCTTTGAAGAACAATGATTGAAGCCTCAAGGTCCCAATTGGGTCCTACCAAGTTCATCCATTTTGTTCTTAAATCCTTATCTAGTGACAAGGCCTCTAAGCATTCCTGGAGCACATCACCTCTCTCATAGACCATGTTTTCATGCAGGTGCTTCCACTCGAATATGGAGAAAAGTGAAAAAAGAACTTGCCTTGTCTTGTACTTTAAATCTGTGTGTTCCATCATGTTGGGCAACATCGTCCCCTCATTCTTTTATCATTCCAGGTGATCTTGATACGCGGAAAAGTACTGGCACTAGTTGTCAAATAGAAATCCATTTTATGATCTCCTGTAATATACTTTATTTCGATTCCATATTTTTGTCAGAGCTATAGTTCTCATAACCAAACATAATTACAAAATTTCAACTAGTTTCATAAAGAATAACGAAAGATATAATTGACTGAATACATCAAAATGGTTTCTATTCGGACAACCCTTTCTTAGCGCTGATTGGCTAAAATACGAACACAAGATCACCTGGTTGTCAAGGCAGTGGTTTTATTAGCATTAATGAGTGGTGAGTCTGGATCATTACTTTGCTTTAGCTGTAAGTTTTCAGTCCCCTTTTTTATGACGTCTTTTGCTTTTTTATCGCCCACCCGGTATGATCAAGAATGGTTTCTGTTTCAGTTTCATCTGGGTTTGTCACACAGGTATGGAACGTTGTTGACATGTTGTTGTGAATTCTATTCAACTTGAAACCAGAAGCCCAGAAATGTTGTAGCATCAATTGCATACTGTTTCGGACAGATGTGTTGTAGCCTGCATGTGCAGAACATACTTGGTGCCAGACTTTATTTACATTCACATAATGTATACCAGAACATCTCATTTCAGTAAATTTTTTTCCCAATTTTATTCCTCTTTGTTGTCGATCTTTTTCAGTTTCACCCGCTGAAGTAATTTCTTTAAAAAAGGCTCACAAGCAATTAATCAAATTATATAATAATTGAGTTTGACCTCCAATGTTCTTTGTTGAAGCCAAAAGTTGTCTCACCAGTTTCCCTTCATCTTTTTCTGCCTTGTATATTTTTTCCATTTTAGTAAGAAATGATGAAATGCCCTGAACTGACACAGATATTAGAGAGGCCCCATTAGGGGTTATCGGGATACAGGATATTTAAGGGAAAAATTAGAGGGATACGGGATACTAAAGGGATACGGGATATTAGAGGGATACGGGATATATATATTGTCCATGTCCTATGTACTCTTTAATTTTGGCATTATAGGGATACAATATACTGAATAATTATAGGAATACGGGATATTTGAACGAAAAATAACAGGGATACGGAATACCCATACCCCCCCTAATGGGGCCTCATTAGAACATTACTATCCATTTTGGATATGTTGGTACTACATGAAGCAGTACTTTCATCATTTTCTTCATTCTCGTCTTCAAAAAATCTTAACATTTCCTCTTCATCCATTGCAGAAGTCGTAATACGTGCTTTTTTTAACAAAGTGACTATATGACCGGCAGCCGGTCACGGTTTATCAAATACTAAATGGCCGGCAGTCTAGTGACTATAGTTGAATATAAAAACTTTTGTTTGCGTTAACTTTTACCGAGTTTGCCATTAGCTCATACGGCAAGGGCGCTGCGTGCGGAAAAGTTAAACGCAGTCGGGGTCGGGATGTGTTTTGTCTGACTTAGCATTGTTTTTTCTTAAAAATTTTTAAACTTTTTTTCCCGACTTTTCTAACTCTCAAAAGGTTAGGGTTAGGGGTTAGGGTTAGAAAAGGGTTTGGGGTTGGGGATAGGTTTATCTTATAAAAATTCAACTTTAACAATAGTCACTAGACT